GGTTGAATGGTCACAAACTACTTCAAGATCGTTTCAGGCTGGACATAAGGAAGAACTTCTTTACTGTCCGAGCCCCCAAGGTCTGGAACAGCCTGCCACCGGAGGTGGTTCAAGCGCCTTCATTGAACACCTTCAAGATGAAACTGGATGCTTATCTTGCTGGGATCCTATGACCCCAGCTGACTTCCTGCCCTTTGGGCAGGGGGCTGGACTCGATGATCTTCCGAGGTCCCTTCCAGCCCTGATGTCTATGAAATCTATGAAATCTATGAAATCAATGAGGCCAAGAGAGAGCCAGGCTCCTTTGTCTCATAAACTTAGTCATAATAGAATTAAAAAACACAACACAAACAAAAGCAAAACTACATTGAAAGAACATTATTTCGATTACAAAGCAAAGCATCCAAAAGTAAAGTTTTCTGATTAACATTTTTTTTCTTGAAGACTAAATTTGCTTTCATGTTGGAGTCCTTCATTGCAAGATCAGATGCCAGTGTTTCCATGGGATTCCTGCCTTATTCAGTGTTCAAAATAGATTGCAAAGTTGAGCACTCAAGTCAGGAATTGCTAGATATGTGATGTCTGTGTTATGCCCTTCAGCATCTAACTAGCATTTTAACAACATATTTTGCATGTTTCACTTATGCATGTTGTAAACTTCAAAGAGACATTTTAAATAATATACACCAGGCCTAACACATAGACATTATCAATTGCTTTGTAATAGTTATAGAATGCTTTGCCATTGTTGGACAAAAGCCAGTATTAGAAATGTCAGTCATTATAGCAACAAATAATTATTAGGATTATTGCTGCCCCCTGGTATTTGGGCAAGAACATAGCATATTTATTACACATTTCTGGTTACTTTTGTTTCATATGATTAACAGGGTAGCTCCTTCCTGGCTGCAGACCTGTGGCTGTAATATAGCTTTCATCTCTCTTGGTTCTGTTCTTGCCCTAATAAACATTTCTGTTTCTATTATTTCTTTCTGTGGCCACCACACACCATTATTTTCACAGAAAAAAACAGTTTGGCAGCACAGTTCCCAGGGCAGGATATCACCTGATAACTATCCAGAGCTGGGGATTCTCATTGTCCCAAACCTGCATCTTTTCCATCATACTAGGACTTTGATTTAATTGCTGAACAACACATTTTATTACTTATTTCTTTTCTAATAGCTGGATAATTTAATTCTACTTCTTACCATTTAGTGTTGTCATGAATGGCTTTGTTTCACTCAACTTGATCAGACTCACCAAACTCTTCTTTCATTCTGTACTAATGCATTACACTTTCAACTTCTCCCCCAAAGATGCCTTTTTTTTTGTTTCACTCCTGTCCCTTTCCTTGTGTTGTCTGAAGTTTGTCATGAGCTTTTGAGCATCATTCGCTAACTAGCCCTCTTCTATGAAGTGACTGATTCTGTCTTAAAGAGCTGTCTGTTAACTTTATTTGCTAACCTGAAGAGCAGTCTGTCAGTTAGACCCACTCTGCAATGGGAATGTCCCCCAGGTATTTCAATAGCCAGGCACTGTTGCAAACCCCCTAGCCTAGTGTAAGCAAGGAAAGCTGCAGTTTGCACATTGACACTTATTCCTGCTTGCAAAGAAGGTGGTATGAAGTAATGACTGGTTACTGAAGGCTGTAATCAGACAAATTCCCAATATAGCAAAGGCCTTAGTGTTGCTTTATGATTTTCTCCTTAGCTGCTAACAATTGAGGCATACAACTTGGATAATCTCCAGTCTGCTGATATAATGAGCTGATCCTTTACTGGTAGCACAGTGTGTGTACATGCAGGTCATGATATTCAAGGGCTGATACAAATCACAATTCTAGAAGGAGTGACTATAATGCAAATAGATTTGCTGCTGTTGATCAGTATGCTTCTATATCTGAACAATTTTAGCAGGTCCTCCATTAAATCCGGATTGGGGCAAGGTTCTCAAAAAAAAAAAATCATTAGGGCTCATTTCATCAGAATGGACTAAAAAAAAATCAGATTTAGTTTAAATCAGTTAAAGAAATGCCAAAGGGGCAACAATCAAGGTTTTCTTTCCCATAAAAGAGCAGTGCTTTTTATTTTCTTTCCTTATTACAGGCCCAAATGGCTCTCCCCAATTAGGTCTGCAACTTAACAAATCAACAAGCTGGTAGTAGACCTTCAGGGGTTTTATAAAGGTCTTCCTACTTATGACCCTTTGTGGGGAAGGAAGCCCCTCGGGTTGTCTGTGTGACTGACAGCCTGTTCATCTAAG